CTGTGTAGTAACTTGCACCGCTAATGCCACTAGAAACTGTTCTGAAAAAGCAATGAAGATACATGAATCTTGTTGCTTTTATACCATTAACAAAAGAGCAGCATGTAACCAACTCAAAAAAATGTAAAGAACTCAGGAAAATTAAAAGAAATTATCACATGTCTTCACGATAAGTAAAATCTTAAAATTGAAATTATTTTGTTGGAATTTTGAGTTCTTAACTATATTATTCAATCCAACCACTAAAAGAAAACTTCCTTGAATGGTTATGTAGTCATATAGATTTTAGAAGCAAATTACCTATTAAGAGTAGCTGAAACAGTCTCCTGAACAGCAGCCTTCCAGTTGTAGCCTCTATTTGATGTAATATAAATTGCACCTTCGTCAGTCACCATCTCTGCACTCTTCTCACCAGTTGCCTTTATATAAACCTGGAGATATCATAACAGAATCACTTATTTCAGCATGCCGATAGGCTGTATATCCAAATGGAAGACAAAATTGATTACATCCTCTGATTAAACAATGACAAGGAACCAAGATTTATTGGAAAAATATATATATCCTAGGAAGGAAAGATATGTTTTCATAATAGAATCAGCAACAAAAGTTCAATGCAGTTGGAAACATGGGGTCACTCAATGCTTTGTAGCCTCTGATTGCAAAATTGGCGAATTCGTAGGTTCAATTCCTACTACATACGGGTGAGGAAGAAACAACAATTTATTCCCCATTATACTTCATACTCAAACCACACCTTCGAAATATCCATTTCCATTGCTTCGAAATATTGAGATTAAACGAGTTGTAATGTATCTAAAATTGATACGTATGTGCAGAATTATGGTGAAGATATGTGTAAGAGAAAGCTTTACCATATCTCCAGGAAGCTGAGAGCTTAGCGGTATCCTTTCCCAGCTGTTTCCAGAATCAGACGTGTGCAACAAAATTGCAGGTTTTCCAACAATCCAACCCTCCTTCCCTTTGAAGCTAATGGAATTGAATCTGTAGTTGAAATCTTCGTCTTCAGCTGACGGAATTGAACGTGGAACCCAAGTGTCTCCACCATCCTTTGTCTCTAAAATGGTTTGCCTGGTCCCCAAAAGAAAACCTACCCACAACAATTAACCCACGCTCAAATTTAATTTCCTTGAGTTAATTCCAGCTCATGAATTTTTCTGAGGAACCAAACAACAAAGTGTAGAAAGAAAAGAAAGATGGTAGATGGAGCAGTGGAGTGAAGTGAAGTTACCGTGCTTAGGGTCCTCGGGCACAAAAGCAATGTCGAGAAGGACGACGCCGGGGTCGATAGGAAGGGACACTTTCTCCCACTCGGAAAGGGCGGACTCTTCCGACTTGGCCGGTTGTACGGATCCAAACAACGGCAGAGTAGTGAGGGTCAGAGACAGCGCGGCAGTCTCGGAAACAAAATGTCTGCGACTCACCAGCGAAGAATCAGAAGAGGAAGAGGAAGCTCTAACAATATTATTGAAGCGAGGTAGAGATAGAGAGGTTCGGCAATGACGAGGAGTGCTTGCGAATTCAAGAGAGGGTTTCACCACAATTATTGGTTTGGAGAAGTCCGTCGTCAGTTGCAGAGTAGTCGCCATTTTCATGCTCACTCTCCCTCTCTTTCTCTCTTTCTCTTATCTCTCTTATCTCTCTTATCCGGAAGAAGAAAGTATCTTCGCGGGTGATTTTGAGCATCCATGGGAATATCCACGTGGATAGTCTATTTAATTTGGTTTATAAAACAAAATTATGTAATCGTATCAACAATCACACAGGAGATGGGGATGTAGCTCAGATGGTAGAGCGCTCGCTTAGCATGCGAGAGGTACGGGGATCGATACCCCGCATCTCCATAGTTTTTTGTTATTTTTTCTTTATGTCTTAAAATAGCAGTCATAATGGTCATAGCACAAAGCTACGTTTGTGTGTAATAATACTAATTAAAACAAATTAACTTGATGTCAGAAAAATACAGTGGGAATCAACATGCTTAATACCTAAGCAAATAATGGATGTAGTTCTTATGAAATTGATTACGATAATTAATTATGAGAGAATCTGACGAAGTGAGGAAAGGAAACCAAATTAAAGTAGTACTAGTAGCTGATTAATATTCTTCCATATATATTAACATAATATTGAAGTTGTATGCAGCTTGTGTTGGAGAGAAAGGTAAAGAACTCAGGGAAATGGGCAGAGTAGAAGAGGCATGCAGAGGAGTTCATATGTGCGTGCATTCAGAAAGGAAGCTACAACGTGAACCGGACGCCCGGTGGCTTGCTCTGGTTTCTGCCCTGAAATAACGTTCAATATATTGCCACTGCCACCTTAGCCACCACTGTTTATTCCATTTATTTGGAGGCCAAGCACGCCTCCCTCAACTGCCCTGCCATCTCCGCTACCCCATCTGATCTCATTGCCTCTATCAAATCACAGGTCTCACAACAATCAATTCTATTCTATATTTAATACAAATAATGCTATTTGTACGACATTTATAGACGGCATTACTCTACATCCAATAGAAGTGGGTTCTCATATTTGTCTGTTAATAATGACTAACTTTGACTGTTGTTAGGTGGGTTATATCTTGGGGGTTTCGAACCTGATAAACATGAGTTACATGGTTGGATTCGGAAACGGAGGAAATTATCCGAAGCAGATTCATCACAGAGGAGCATCAATGATATCAATCAAGAAGGACGCTACCTGTGACATGCAAAGGTGGCTTCGAGGCTTGGTTCCACAAAAACGCGCCCAACCCCAACGTGCTGGACGGAGCCGTTGTGAGCCCACAACTGTGACCGATGCCCCATTAGTTGGTGTCTTTGCTCACTTTGCTTAATTCATTCACAACAATTTGAAAGCATTATTTGTAATTTGTATGCCTACCATACATTCATCCATCAAATGAAGTGAAAGTTAATAGATAAACAAATTAAAATTTTAAAAATAATAATTTTGAAGTGAAATTTTTTGATAATTTTGCTTCATCTTTCGATAATCTTACCAGTTCCATAAATTAAAGGTTCAGGGAAAAAAACAAGAAAAAGGGTCATGAGAGGGATGAGGGCTTGAACACGCCAGATCCATTTTCCCATCAACTACTATACAAACTATATATATATATACATATTTTTTTTGGTCGAATGAAACTATATATTTCTATTTCACTATGTACACAACAAAATTTAGACCCACCAGACAAGGGGCACAGACAGTTCCTATGATAAAAATCGATAACTTTCCTATTGCACTCAAAGAAGAAGAAAAAGAAAAAACTCTATCTTTCCTACAGATTAATAGAACCTATTCCTTTCCCTCCTTCCCTTTGCTTTATGTTGATCTTCTCGTGTTCCAGAAAAGGAAAAGAAACAAGGAAGAGAGGTGATTCTCATTACCCAAAACTAAATGTATAAACAGAAGAAATGCACAATCCCTTCTCTGTCCGTAGTAACAAGGTGATCATGGCCGAAAAATTCTCATAGTTTTAGAGACCTGGAGCCGACAAAATGGACACCTGGAAACCGCAGAAGAGCACCGCCGACAAAGTACATGACCACAAGGAACTATAGTTATGTCAACTTCAGCAGTCAAGCAGACCCGACAAAGCCATGCTGCTTTTGCGGTATCAGCTTCTTTTGCTGCCACATCAGCTTTTTCCTGAAATTTAGTTCAATAAACATGCTTTCTTATATCCTCCACAATCAATTTCTCCATATGCTAAATCTAATAAATATGCAGACTTATATCCTCCACACTGAAGGCCCAAAAATAAAACATGAAAGGACAAATAAGCCTCAGCAAGTGCCAAAGTAAATCACTTTGAAAGTGATCCAGCTCATATATAAAAACATGGTCCCTTGAGATTCATAGCGCACCAAAATATTTTCTTCAAAGCAACACATATGCAATATTATTCCCCTATATTCAAGCAAGATTGCAGTGTTAGATAATAAATTGTGTAAAATATGTATAGCTTAATAGCATACCTGTTCAAGCAAAAGTGATGTCTGGGACTCCTTTAACTGTTCTTGCAGCGTTAGTGTTTTCTGCAGCAGGGACTGCTTCTCCACATCCATATAAATCCCAGCTGCAGAAAGCATCTCTTGTACTGCTTGCACCAGTTCTCCAGCTGATACTCGGCCATACTGGAGCTCTTTGCCAGCTTGCAGCTGCAAATGAAGAAACCATTTTGAGTTCGATACTTGAAGGAATACAACTGAAAACTGCTATAACACCTAACTTTTTTCCCAAACTTTTTTTCCCAATTCTTTCACATTGAGTGACTCCACTGGTATCACAATATTATGGATTTCGCCTCACGTGAGAGTTGGAAAAGAACTGAGCTCCAAAGTAATTTTAAATCAAACCAAAATGTAAAATATGATCGTACTATCAATAATATTAAACACGTAAAGCAATCAATTCAGTGGAAAACATATAACAGGGCTTAAAACAATAATTTTTCCTGCATGGATTAAACATCTAGCTATTGTGCAAACTTTTGAACGCCAAAAACAAAAGCATTAAAGAGAAGGAAAGAAATCAAAAGGGGAAAAGAGAAGATAAAAAGTAGGTGATTATCTTTAGGCAAAGTCCACTTCTTTCTCACACGAATATGGCTCTGGAATACTTTGTATGGAATGAGTCTTCTAAGGAATTGAAAGAAGGATCAAGTATTGCAGAATAATCTGAATGAGAAAAACCTTACAAATATAACACTTAAAAGAGGGGAGCGGCATGCCAAACCAACTCATAATGGTGAGTGGATGGCAACATCAGAGGGGTACAAACCTGAGAAGATCTTGATTTGCCGCTTCCAGAAGTTTCTGGCATTTCGATGGGAGTTCTGTTACGAACTACTGTATGACTATCATCCATTGGCATTGGTGAAGTCTCACTGCCCATTGCTATACTTCTGAATGAGAAAACATGTGAAGAAAGAAGAGGCTGCATCCCCCCTGTTGAGGTTTCCACCTTGAATCTGTACAGTGCTTGGCCAGCTGATGGTCTGACATCATCTGGAACTCTACCATATTTGAGCTTTTCTCCATTTTGAGAGCGCCATGCCACTATCTCTCCAGCATAAAACGGCCTCAATGGATGAAATTGTACTTGATGAACATCTTGAGGCAACAGTTCTTTGCCTATCAAACCATTGCTTCCACTAGTGGCTTCCATTTCTTGTTTGTCAGAACAAAGCTTCAAAATATCGACAATTGCAGTTTCGGAGCCTCCAGGACAGACAAATAAAGATCCAATAGGTAACGGAGTAGGGGACCCTAAAACCAGGCTCACGACAATTGCAATAACATCAAAAACTGAAATATAGGGTGGTGGTTCGGAAACTAAAATGCTGGTGTTAGACCGGTTAATGAAGTAAAGTGTCCGATGCATGGATCCATCAACCCACTCTGGAATGATGGAATCCTTAGCCGCTTGTGTAATGTCTACTGACTTTGGGAGAAGCAAGAAACGAGTATGAAGGCACTTAACAAACTGCAACTTTTCTGCAACAGCTTCTAATAAATTTTGTATGGTTCCCAGAGATAAATTCTTAATTGCAGGAATGTAACTAGACATGCTATTTACAACGGTCCATACAGCACCCTGAAGTGACTTGCTCAACAATTTCTCTCTGATGGCTACTAATGGAACCGAACCAATATAATCCAAAGTCTGCAAATGCTCCTGATGATCTAACTCCTACATTCAGAAAGCATATTTTACATAAAGATAAAGACAACTCTACTTTGGGCAAAACAAATAAAGGAAAAATAAAAAGTAATTAAGTTTTAGAAGATCATGCTACCTCAATGACTACATCAGACAGCTTTTTGATGCCCAGGACAAAACATAATCTCTCTGGAAGATCTGGGTGAATAAATCTGAACCTTGAAGGGTCAATGCATTTTACAAACCGTGATCCATGGGAATCAATATACACACAGGATTTTGCATGAACAAGTCTGCAGCTATCATCAGGAACTATTGCTTCTGATGTCCAATTGGGCCCATTGGACATGTCTTCCCCAATAGTCCCATCACAGATAAAGTACAAAATTTCCAGGACAGCCCGGAGTTCATTTGGATTTAGACGCTGATATCCACAAGTTCTCTGGAGATTCAAAAGAAGATCCCTCGCAGAGGCAATTGAAAATATGTCCTGAAGTCCCAAATCTTTGAGAATCTTCAGAAAAGGAAGATACAAAGTAGGAAGTTCAAATGCAAATGGGGATAAGTTAATTGTTAGACGAGCAAAAAGCAAGTTTGCTGTCACCAAGCGTGTTCCGTTTGCAGCAGGTATAAATGGAACTCTCTGCAACTCCATTATATCTGCATAAACAGAAAAAAGATGAAGAACCTGTTATTCAAATTTATTCATCTTGATTGGTTGCAAGATGGAAATCTTTTTTGTCTTTTGTTTTCTTGTAATCTTTTGTTTTATTCAATAAAAAATTTATGTTGCCTATAAACAAATACTAAAGAAGGCACTACTGACTTGGAATCACATCATGAAGTCAATTGAATAAGCAGCACAAACACTCATAAAGCCAGTACTTGATTTTAGCATGGCACAAAATATCTCTACCAGATATACCTTATCTCAGATTTTTTTCATTTATTTATAACTAATCCTTTTTTTGTCGACGAAAGGTAACGTAGCTGATTAACAGTAAGTAATGTGTATGGACTATGGAATGTAAAAGAGAGACTATAAAAAAGAAAGTTGGAAAAAGCAGAATTAACCAACAAGAAGCAATTTGCTGTTGAGATGAGTTATTTCCTCCCACACCAAAGGTTTTTTTGGACTGAAGGTCAGATGTACTGATAATTTGTGAAAACAGAAGCTCAATTATATGTGAAGATTATCAATTAAGAAGGTGACACAAGACCACAATTGAAACAAAACAGGAATGGAGTCTACCTGAAGAAGAGAGGGAATTCCATATCTTATCCAAGTATTTTAACACCTCACAGGAAGCTTCATCAATAGTCATCATGCCTGATGCAGTTGGCCAATGAGCAAGTGTGTCTTCACCACCATTTCTTCCAATAATCTGGGGAACAGTCATGTAAGCAAGGTTTTAGCACTCAATCCATCATAGTGGATGAATATACAAGGGACTACTAGAGGTACCTGCAAGTGTTTTAGTACTGTAGGAAAAGCTGGAGGGCTTCTGAGCTGGAGTGATCCCCAAGAGTACTCAGGAGGAACAGCACTTTGTCTTGAAATAATGGGCGCATAACTCCAAGCCAGAGGCCAATCCTTTAACAGAATAGCTTCATTATATGAAGTGAGTACTCTCTTGCCACCTTTTTTTCCAACGACATTTGGAAGGCCAAATTCAGCAGGTATGCATTTAATCTTGCCAAGGAGATCACAGAAGTTGTTGCCATAAAGGACAGCAAAGTTCGAGAAAATTGCTTCAACAACAGATCCAGCTAATGTCCATACTTCCATTGAAACTTCACTCTGAGTGTTGCTTAAATCCTCAAAATCATCCAAATCTCTGGACCTCATGCATTCAGTTCCAAGAAACTCTACTCTTTTGGCACATTCAAGTATTACATCAGACTCTGTTGCAGTCCGGAGACCAGCTTTTCTTAAAATGTGAAGCCACCCATCTGTAGTAAACCTTTCTCCTGGAAATTTTTTCCTCTCACCAGAGAAAATAGATGTTAATAAAGCATCACCAGGATCAAATAAATCATTTAGCCTCTTTTAAAGCTTCGATTACAGAAGAATCCATTCGGAGGTCTTGCCAGTTTGTGTAAAGATATATTAGTATATCCTCCTTTTCAGATTCAGGTTTACCTTCAAACCCAGGCAATCCAAACCTGATTAAAATCTGCTGATCATGCAATTCAGAGACTCCGAGTGCTCGAAGTAATGAAAATTCAACTGAACCACTGGAGTAGGACAGGCAGCGTTCATCATAGGGCGTAAGGAATGAACTTGAAGAGACAATGCACTGATCATCACTGAGCAACCGTGTGTATGAACCCACAACTGTTTTATATATAGGAAGTGAACGTAAAACTTCAAGTTCTTCCACTCTGTAATTAGAGCCATTTGACAAGAAATCGTTAGCAAAAAGTGCAAAAAGTGCATCGCAATCTGAAGCTGAAAGGGAAGTAAGTTCAGGGAAATAGCCAGCATTTCTAGCTGCAACCAACTTGGAAGCAATAACTTGACCTAATGATTGGCCAGGAGCAGGGAAACAGTTGCATGGAGCAGCACAGTCCAGAAAAGCTATATCAAATATAGGTATGCTGCAGTGATTCAACAGTGATAACAACCAAGGGTGTTTGTTTTTAGCTACTTCAAAAGCCAATGCGTAACCATGAATTGATTCAGATTCAGGCGCATCATTGCTTCCAGTTACTCCAATTTCCAAGGAACTTTCTTCTGAAGTTGGATCAATAACCAGTGGTGGAATGAAAACCAAGAAAAGAGCAAGAGGTCTTCTGAACAGCCATTGAAATTTTTCCAGAAGAGTCTTATCCATTGGGGGGAAGGACCTCCTTCACCACCAGAGCTTGATGTATTATTCTCCCATGAAAACCAAGGAACCATATTTGAGGCCATTACATGACTCACCCAGTTATCATGAAAAACTATCCTCATATGACTGGCCAGTAAGTGAAGAGAGAAACTTCGCAGTTTTAATAATGATTGTAGCACACCATTTGAAAAAATATCAGCCAAGATTGATCTATCCAATACTTTAGGGTGGACAAACTTTTCAGCCAAAGAAACCATCAATGACAGTTGCTCCTTATTCCCAACCCAAAGTTCAGTAGTACCCAACTTAGTTAAATGGTTTCCGGCAGTTGGGCATGGTAAACCCTTGAGCTCAGCTGCTATTGATAGAAGATTCTGGTCTACATTTCCATACATGCTGTTGCTGCTACCAGCAACCACGTTCCTCTGAACCAAGGGCCCCCCAGCCCTACCAATATCCTCAACAACTCCTCGGCCAAAATCAAATAAAGCCTTCCCCAAACTTGTCACCATTTCAATTGCATCTCCTGAACTGCTAGCGTTCTGAGTAGACAATGCAGGAAAATTATGAGTATTAGGGACTGAAACAGAACCAGGACTGGTACCAACAACTTGACTTTCCCTATGGATATAGTTTGTGTTATTGTGGTCAACTGTCAGAGAATTTCCAATGGAATTAGATGATTCTCTAATCTCAACATCAGACAAACAATACTCAAGAACATCTGCATACATATCAACTGATCGGAGAACAAAAGATGTTGAAGAAAGTCTTAAAAGATTCCTAACCATTTTAGGTTTTACTTCCCGAACTGCAATCCCTAGAGCTTGGATTTCAGTTACCAACTCCCAAGGTACTGAAAACACTGGGTAGTGCTCCTTTACGAAGCTGCAAACTGTTGCTGGAAGCAACTTACCACCCACCCCATTCCCTGGTTGTGAAAGAAACATACCCTCTTCAGCCTTGGCTAGGTTTCCAGAGTAAAGCTGCCACACAGGAAGGTCAACAACACGAGCATAGAAAGGCCTTATCACATGTTCAATTATGCATTCCCAATCTGATTTCAGCACTTCCATTGGAACTAAACTACAGTCGTTTCCTTGTTGTGTGACCATATTACGCCCATTAGACCTTGGCCAAAAGGAATAAATTTTATCTCCATAAGCCTTCAAAGACAGGCTGATTGCACGACCTGCACTTGATTCAATTGCAGAACTCGAAGCATCTCTTCTTAACCTCTGGATTTCCAATATCAATTCAATGTAGGAATCACGGACACATGACATAAGCTCCCTGTTCCAAGCTTCCATTAACCGATTTCCAGCATCAGCCTGTGCCTCTTCCGAAGCTTCTTTGTCTTGGTAATTAAAGAGGGAGCGACCTCCATTGTGACAAACCAGGAAACATCCAAGAACAGTAACAGGTATATTTATACCACCGGACAGAGGAAGGGGGGACATGATAGAACTTGCTAGACAAACATCAGCAGGATGGCCATCACGGGATATATGTGCTGCAACTCCAGCAACAGGTGTTAAGTTGTATGCCAGATATCGCCTGTAAAGAAGTAAGTGGAATCCATCAAGCACATAATAGAAATTTATCAGACAAGTACAATTTGTTAACAGGATATTCTCTGTATCGGCAAGTTTCACAGCTCGATGATTCTAGCCGTACTTAATAGTTAAAACAAGATAGTCTCTATTCGTTTGAAGTCATTACTGAAACCATAAGTATATTACAGATCAAACTATTTTCCAGTTGACCCAACAGAAATGGAACATTTTGAATGCAGGAATCCAGTCTAAAGAGCAAAACTGTGTAAATCTTGTGACAGTTCAAGTTATTGTCTGTCATACATGGGAATGGAGAAAATGAAAATTAAGCACCTCTAAATGACAGAATGCCACACATGTTTATGATTTTTTATTCTTAGAATTTGTATTTATCACTCAAATTGTAGAAAAACCAAGCATCACATCAACTTACTGATGCTGATACCTTAATACAACTTTATACATCAAGTTGCGAGTTTTGCCCTGCCTAGAAATTTACAGCTTCCCCAATCAATTATTCATCCCTCAAAGAGTTCACATAATTCAAGGGAACCCAAATTTAACAAAGGCAAATCATCACATATATATTTCCAACTTTTCACTACTAAACTGCAGACTGTGCAGTGACAGATATAGGAAAGAAATCTATATCCACGTTCTTGCATAACATACCTATCAAGAGCCATATTTCTTGTTTGTCCAGAGCCTAGGCTGAGTGCAACGAGCCATCGGTCAACAACTCTTGCTGCCCCATGGTTCAAATTTACATCTATTACATGCAATTTTGTTGCAGCATTGGAGCTATTAAACAATCGAGATATTTGAAATTTCCTCCATTTCTTCTCTGAAAATGGATTTCTCATTATAGCAGATGATGAATCAATGCTAACTGAATAGTCCTGGTGTGGCTGCGAGTTTCCTTCCTCCCATGTCGAGATTGACACCTGATCATACATAAGACCACTGTACGTAAATGCTGTGATATATGGCTACATGCACAGAAAATTAATCTCTAACAATACCTGCGTCACCGACTTTAAGAATATAAGTGATCTAGAAGAGTGCTCCAAAAATCTTTCACTAATCTGCTTTATTCTCCTTAGTCCAAGTTCTAGTCCATTATTCAAACATTCAGATGATAAAGGCATGCGAATAATAGTAGAATCCAATGATGGCCACGATATACTGGGACCAATCAGCATGGGATTAAATTGATCACGGAACCGGTCAGTCAAATTAGTACCTGAAAACCGAGCATAAAAAAATTTCTTAGTCTTCAATCTTACTCAGCATGAGATGAAAACAGAGTATCAAATTAGCAGATTGTGACGCGATGTACTTATTCAGCCTTGTTCCAGCAGGAAAATGTCACCTGGAGTATGGTTCACTTTGGTACGTGGTAGGTACACAGCATGTTACTTTAGTTAGTACACAGTTCAGAGAGTAGACTTAGCACACTACTTTGGATCATGGAATGCATAAGAACTGTTACTATTAAGCTACTTTGGATCATGGAATGCATTAGAACTGTTACTATAAAATATAGTTTTACCTATACATTACTTCATCAAGCTATAAATAAACTTCTATATTTTTCTTTTTTTAACTTAATAACTCATTATTTTTCTATTCAATCCTTTGTTGAACTCAGATAAATGATGCATTTTGGTTAGTCATAGATATGAAGTAAAATGGTGAGATCGGATATATTAATTTAGCTTTTCGGAGCACAATGCACCAGATGTTAAGTTTTATTGTTACTTATGCACATACTCTCAGACACCTTTCAGTAGGAAAATGATATACTAAAATTGGATGGTGTTGCCACCAAAACCATTTTGTTACCACCACCACAATCACACAACAAAGTGACCAATAAGACAAAAATACCAATACTTTCATCATTAAGGAATTTATGAGTCAATTTCAACTGGGAAAAAAAATGAAAAGCTAAAAAGCATTATGAAAGTCATAAAGATCATGTGAGAAGTACACAAATGGGTACCACCTGATACACAGGGAGCATACAATAGGAACAAAAGATTGAAAAATGAGTGGGCAATGAATAAATACCTATTAAAGAAAACATTTTTGCCGCAGGAGCACAAGTTGACGGTGCAGCAAGCACCAAACCGAGGGGATCAAACAAGTATAAGTAGCCACCAGAAACAACTGAGAGTAGATCACAGACAAAATAACAGCTAAGCAAAGCCAAACCATAGTTAAGTGTATTGCCCCTTAGTCTCCATGGAGGTAGAAATTGGAGGCTACTTATTTCCTCTCTACTCAAGCTGACCCCTTCCAAAATGGCTAATAGGGCAGGCCCTTGAAACTCACCTACAGTAATCACCAATTTTGTAAACAAAATCAAGAATAAAGTTCAAAATCATTATGCTTTACAGCTAGTAGAACAGTAAAAATTGATGCTTCACCAGGTTAACAAGTTGGTGAATAGTGAAAAAGGCTAATAACAGTACCAGACAACATTAAAATCAACAATTTATCTTTTGCAGCCCAAATTTATGAAGATCCCTTTCTCTATGAATGCAATCTATATATTAACTCATTCAAAACAAAAAAGAAATTACAGATATTTCAGTTACCCATATTGTGCTGCAACAAAGACTGGCGAGGATGTTCCCTCTTGTCAAAAATTAGGTGAAGCTTATTGGCTTTGCAGCAATCTGCCAACTCAAGTAGGTCAAACAATAAAAGGTCATTGTCCCCATAAGATGTCAAAAGCTCTTTTATTCTAGCATAGTCCATGCAAGGAAGATCTTTAGTCATGTCATTGTCAACTAAAGAGAGGCAGCGAAGTGATTGTACCCCCAACCTACTTGCCAGATCATTGCTGATAGTTGGATGTATAAAATGTTTCCCAACGGGAGTACTATTATCCATCCATGGTGCATCATTATACACAAGATTTCCAGCATGCATAAGAACTGCAGACGCGTCTGGAATTAAGATTGGAGTGTTAGAAGCTTCAAAAAGTGGCTTCTCTGAGCAACAGTCTGCTACAGCATCAAGGATACGATGGACAAAATTTAACTGATCTGTTGACAATGGGAATCCTTTCACGTCATTTTGCAATCGTTGCAAGACATGCATATAGTCCCAAATATCAAAACTAATTCTGACGCCTAAATTCAAGAGCAAATCTCTGAATTCCGATAATTCAGATGGAACAACATACAAATATGGAGTAAATTTCACAGGTGAGTCAAATGCAAGAGCATTTGGAACAACAAAGTTATCCCCAATCCAAACCCAGGAAACACCATCTAGTGCTGATTTTAGTTGCACAAATTCATCAGTGCCAATATACTCTTGCATCTTAGAATAGAGTGCTGGAATTCCCTTAGAAAGTGCAGCATCAACAACAGGTACATCAGATGAATGTGATTTGAGCTGGCTATATAACTTGGATAGCTCAATCAACTGTGCAGATAAAACATTTATGTTTGGACGATCCATCCAACCAAGTTTCTTTTGTAGGTACAACGAACAGCATTCACCATCTAGTATATGCATTGAGCAGGATACCACAAACATCTGGGATTTAGGTCTCACATTGCTTGGCCGGGACACCTGATTACTAGACTTCAACCATGGGATTCCTTTTAGAGGTGGGTCAGCATATACAGGACACCAAGCAATAGCCCTCATTTCAGACCAAAAGTCCTCATCTGGCTGATCATCAATCAAGTTACCTACGAAAAAATTTATGTCCAGATCATCTAATATTTGGTTCCCAATTCTCTTAGGAGACTCATCATGCATACCATCGCCAGCCTCAGTTTCATTGTCGTCGTGGAAAATTGAATTCTTCAACTCATCAAGATTTCCTTCTTCCTCGGTCGAGAGCTTAAATGAAAGAGCATCTAAACAAACAAGTAGCTTCGTCGCATAACTTAGTGTCTCTGGTTCCCTAGAATCATGTAACAAAGAAACTGATCTAGCACAATCAAGTAAACCAGAATAGCCCAGAGTTCTTCTGAGTCCAAGCGTGACTAAAATATCCAAAGTTTCTGTATCTGAGAATTTCTCAGAAGGGAAAAAAACTTCTCTATGCAGCACCGTTCTTAGTGCAGGTACTCGAGGATCATAAAGCCTGTGAAAAGAAAATAGATTTAAAAAGCGTTATGTCCTTAAGCTAATTGAAGGATGTATGGCATGTATGGTGAAGTGGGTGGCGCTGATAGAGGACCTTGAAACTTGAACATCAATGTACAAAAACAACTTTCTATACTTAATCTTTGATCCGTTTATATAGATACGCAAAAGCAAGACATACATGTAAAAATTCTAAGCACCAACACTCAAAAGAGGTCTTACAGGTTAAAATGAGTAGGATAGATTATATCTAGGCCTTTTTCTGTGAGAAACAAAATTTACAATATACAAGGTATAAAGATTCGGGCAACAAGAGGTCCACCATCCTCTCAAACTTGATACAAATCGCATTAAACAAAACAAAAAACAAACAAAAAAACAAACAGCAGCTCCCCACTATAATATTAGAACAGAACAGCAGAGGGGTACTAGAATTGAATCTACCAAGATGGATTTCATCTTGATTCAAACAGTACTAGAACTAACTCATGGAAATTGAACAGTTTTGGACACAGTCATGCATCAATTTGAACTTGCTTATATATATAAGCCTTGAGAATAAAAGAACATTAAAGTGCACCAAAGACCAAACCGTAAGAATCCACTGTAATTAGTACTAGAAAACTCCCGCACAAAAAACTAAAATACAGAAAGAAAATAACAAATCAAAGACTTAAGACACCTAACTATATATCACAATAGAGCACACAAGTTATACCTGGAAGGTTGCTGCCAAGACCCATCGGCTGTCAAAACAAACGGTATTTCAGAGAGTGCAGACTTCAAAGAATTATCCTCTTGAACTAAAAGCTGTACGCCATGGAGAATAGCTGAAAGAGATCCCTGCTCTGAAAGGAATTCTGACATGTGGTTAAGAACATGATCTTTGTAGAATTCCATCCTGGAGGGTTCTCTAATCTCTAAATATCTTCTCAGAATAATTTTTTCCTTCTCTGATTCTGTGCGCACAAAGTCATCACTCAAAAAATTTTCCGGAATATCACCAGGTTTAAGCAATTTGATAGGATTACTCAAACTTACTAGTTTTCTACTTTTATATGACTCAAACATAGGAAGGTGTTTTATGATGTCAATGTGTTTATATTCCATTTCCTCTTCAACAAACCATTTGGACTGAAGAATGAAACTCCGAAGTTCATGCATCTCTCCTTCTGATGCATTGTCGAAAAGCCCCTCAATGTTCTCTGGCCTATCTGCAACTGCCAGAAGTGCATTTAATAAGCCAACTGCTGTTGGCAACTGCACAAAAAATTTCAACTGTGGATGATCTATTGGGAGGTCTTGCCTCAGGAAAACACATCCTATTTTCAGCAACAAAGATGACATGTTCTCACTCCACCCATCATCCTTGATTACATTTGAATTTTCAACTAGTTGCAAGAGGCAATGATTCCCAACAGGCAAAATTGGCCACTTAGAAAAAAGTGACAAGTCGTCACAAGAAGACCTCAAATAGCTCCAGAGAAGTCTAATCCACTCTAAACTTGGTTGACCCTGCTGACCAGGAGCCCATGTCACCTGTTTTGCATGATGCCACTCTGCTGGAAGTAATTTCAAAAGGAGCTTCTCCAGTAAATGGCATGACAGAAAAGAAATATTTGAGGCCTCACTTTGGGCTATGTAACATAGCTTCTCATAAACTCCTTCTGGGATTCCGCAATCTACAAGTTGATTTGGAACCAAATCCTTGAGAAGATCATACTCATCGCCTCGTGCAATATATATTCTTTCCCCAATCCCATTCTTGTCAAATGCTGTAAATGAACCATCAGTAAGGGGTAATAACGGCAAACCATACAAACTTGCAGATTCGACAGGTATCTTCAAATCAAGTAAGCAATATTCAAGGGTCAATATCATTGTGTTTCTATCCTTGAATTCGCGTTTCCTTCGAATTAATAAAGTTCTTAACAACTGTGGATTCAAAAAATGCAATGAGGGGCACACCTCCATAAATCTCTCAACAATTGGCTTAGAAACAGTGACCAGAGGTAGACCAGCATCTGATAATGCTTCAATTAGCTCATCTACCTTATCAAAATTAAAATCAGGAAATATAGCCTGTTTTGCTGAGATCCACTGGCCATCTCGAGCTTTTGTATGCAATACACGAAGACTACAGTCAACAATAAAAGTGTAGAGCTCCCGCACCACTAAAGCCCAAGGTTCTAATCCTCTTGTTTTAGGCCAAAGTGAAAAGAATAAATCACAAGGGCCAATCTCCAGTGCTATTTTCTCTAGCATGTGACCATAAGCAGGGGCAACAACACCTTCAAGCAGGTACATATTCCAATCTGAACGTTTTTTCCCACCGCCAGCCATGTCGTTCCCAAACCAGATGTCTCTCCTATTTGATGATAACTCAAAATATGCATTAACATGAGCTGGAAGGCCAGTACTAATTGGAAGTGGCAGGAAACAGAAAGCATGGCCTTCAAAATCTTTTCTATCCTGCAAAGAACCTGTAGAGACTTGAAATACATCCGATGCAACAGCACAGGCATCGTTCATCTCCGGGATATCACTCACGCCCAATCCAACCTGGACAGAGTGTAAATATGCAGCAACGCATGCCCAGGGTATATAAGTATGAGACTTGTCATTCAAAACTGCAGATTTGTTCTTAGTTTGTGCACCACCTAGACACTCAGAGGTTATCCAGCAGTGTGATACATTACCAGCTGAGCTTTCTTCTGTAATTCCAATCTTCTGACATTTATATGGCAAATCTCTGTCCGTTGATTTTCTCAATTTCTTTAGGAACTGTTCTTTATCCAGTCCTCTCTGCCGACTTCCATCAAACAAGCTAAACACATCCTGCAACGCATTGGGCTCTATTTTGGGCTCACCATTGCAACGCTTATGGACACGATGTAAAAGTTGCATTTCATGTCCACTTCCTTCCTTCACAAAAACAGAGATAACTTTCACATTACGCAGAAAAAGCAAAGTTTCAGAAACAACTTTGGAAAATGAAGCAAAGAGGGATAGGACATCATCAGGTGCATATCCTTCTTTCTTTATTTGGCTTCTGGAAGCAGCACTGGCACTCCTAAGTGGAAACCGGAAAAGGGTTCCAGGAAACGGCTGCTGCAAGTCACAGCCGAAGTGTAAGAAAGGAGAAAATTGATCAGGAAATTGTTCCATAATCTTTCTTCCCGCAAATTTAATCCGTAGGCCAGGATGAGATGGAGAGATCCCAGGCAAATTACAGGCATGAGGATCAAACATAACAATGTTTTCACCAGAAACAAATGTGGGAATGTCTGTGAAATGATAGACACAATTAAAACCCAGTCCAAATCTCCCAATTGCAAAAGGCTTCTCTAGTTTACTTTCTTGGCCAATGCGTGAGATTGCATAAAGATCTTGGGGACTGAAGACAGAGTCATTAAAACAGTACAACGCAGGGCCTTGCCAATCTGCCATTTCAGGTGAAAGAACAGAAGAAGTCCCATATTGAGTTTTGTCCAGGAGAAAGCTCACCTCAGAAGCTCCTGCATCCTCTGCATTTTGAACCAGCTCAAATAGAATCCCAGGTCCATCTGCATACATTTCAAGAATGTGTTTAAGTCTAGTTGTCAAGGCTTCATGCTGTCCAAAAGCTTCAGCAGCCCCAGATAAACTCAAATTCATTGAATCAGCACTCTCAGCTAGCAAGGTCCTGCGCAGAGAGCAGACGCCAAGCTTCTCTGCAACATCAATAGATATGTTCCCATGCACAAATTTCTGAACCGTTCTCCTTGCATTCAGTGCCACATTAGATGGACCACCAAAGGGGCTATCATGATCCTCTGAGCCAAGCAACCAAGGAGCATCGTTATAAACTAAGTCGGTGGCAGGATATAATCTGCCTGACACATCTGGTAAATAAATCTTAACTTTCTGGTCATGTATCTGAACTTCAGCCAAATGCTGCACAATCAATAAGGCTGCTCTCATTTCCTGTGCATCGAGAGGGGAGGATCCTTTCTTCAAAGCCATTCTACATAAGATATTAGCATAATCTGTAGAGTTCAAGAATTCTCGAATACCAAGCTCTAAAAATAGTTCCTTGAAAACAGCCAAATCGACAGGTATGACACGTATATAAGGAGCCAAATGAATAGGACCATCAAGGACAACCTCATCCGCAGTTGCAAATCCATCACCCACCCAGATCCATCGACTACCTTCAAGAACAGCCTTTACAATGTCCATCTCATCTGAACCAATCAACCCTGTCAGTATTGAATATATCCTTGGCATTGCCAAGGCTAATTCCTGTCGAAGAACCTGGTCATTCACAATCTCATTATTTTTACCAAGCTCAAGTAGTTGGGCTGCAATGACACTTCCACCAGGTGGAGAAGACCACCCAAGACTAGTCGATAGTGCTGTCGATGAGCAATCTCCATCAAGTATTCGCATGCTAGCTGAAACAAGCCACAGATCTGCTTGCAGTCTTACAAGCTTTGGTGGAGCAACCATGGATGACACGGCAGGCCATGGTAAAGTTTGAAATGGAGCAGAAACTACCACTGGGCACCAGCTGATCAGCCGAAGATCATTCCAGAACTTTTCAAGTTCAGATTTCAAGTTACGAGGTCTGAATGCGGTTGCAGCTCGTGACAACATTCTGTTCATTGTTCCTTGATCATCATTTAAAGCATTGGGTATCCATCTCATTGCATTAACTTCTAAGTAGGACAGAAGCACCTTGCCTTTTAATTGCGACTTTTGCTGATCCTCATGCATTAGCCGTTCAACCTGTCGAGCACTTTGTATGACTGTCTCAGGGGTCACAGATGTTTTAAGGCCTAAACCGTGTAGCATGTCCAAAATACCAGGTTCTTGAAAAGGACCACAGGGAAAACTATCAGAATCCTCTAATAGTGCATATAATTCTTCATTACGTGGATCATATAATGCAGTAGGAGACCTAAGAGCACCACCAAAGGTCGGAATAAATTCCAAATTTTTCAAATAATCCCTGAAAGATAAGTCCTCAACACACAACTGTGGCAGGTTTTGCAGAATAGAAAGAACAATGCTGTCACGAACTTCAGGTTGCAGTTCCCCAACTCTATTCAACACTTGCTGCTTATAGAAGCGTGCTTTCCCCATTCTCTCAATTCCATAATATCTTAACAAAACCTCCACCTCAACATCTGAGGAGCTAAGGAACTCAGCTCCAAGAAAGCACTCAGGGATGTCTACGGGTGGTAAGTACTTGCGCGGATTTTCAAGATCGGAGAATTGGAAACTTTGAGTAGATCCATCACCATACACTTTATAAATAGGCAGCCTCGTGCAATTTCTTATGTCAGACTCATTCAAACAGTCTCCAAAATACCACTTTGGATCAAGAAGAAATGCACGAAGTTCATCCCTCTCTTTTGCTTCCAAATTATGAAAACATGTTACTATGGTGCCATAATTTAAGGAGACAACATCATATATAGATTCCAGAATCCCTGAAGCATTACCATCAGTTACATAATGAGATAAATCTGAGTGTTCAACTCCATAATTGGGGCTCAGAATCTTGCAACCAATTTTAACAAGTATTTCTTTCATCTTGTCAGAAAGCTTTTCTGCATTGATCAATTTCGATTGTCTCGAGGCTCTGTACAGATGGCAGGAAGTAGATGGCAAAATGGGCCAATCACTAAGCAATGACAGTTTCTTGCACTGATTCCGAAGATATTTCCAAAATAACACAAACCATGTTGAAGTAGGGTGATTATGGCAAGACTCTGGATCCCATATCACTTTGCTTTTATATTTCCAATCAGCGGGTACAAATCTTGGATAAAATTGAAGAAAATACTGAACATTGAAAATGACAAGATTTGCCTTTGAGGACTTTGCAATAGCAGAGAGTCTACTTAGTATGTCAATAGGAATATTCTTATCAATTATTCTATCATATATTTGTTTAAGCAGCATGAATTCTAAGTCATTGCAAATAAAATATGAAATTCCTTTAGAGGCATCTGACAACGATCCAAATTCACCATTTGCCAATGGAAGCAAAGGCAGGTTATATGCATGTGTTCCAACATCATCATCAAGCAAATCTTCAAGACAATATTCCAACAATACAAGCTTGAAATATTTGCCCAGGGTAGAAACAGATCTACACTCTCTGAGAAAACATCGTACTGTATCAGGAGTCACCACCTTCTGCTGAAAACTGGAAGCATATTTCAAGAGCATGTTAAATAAAACATTGGGCAAACACACAATAGGCATTCCTAGCACAATCAGAGCCTCACCAAGTTCCTTACTCTTGGTAACTTCCTCATCATGTAGAAAAGCTTCAACTGGCGACACCCATTTTCCACCTTCAAGATCTGAATGCAACACAGGAGCACTAGAAATGTTTCTGTATATATGCTCGACTAGAATACTCCACGGCTCTTCAAAAGAACCACTTGGCCATAAGGAATAGTACAAGTCCCTGGAATCTAGCAGTCCTCGTACACCAAGAAGAAGTTGAGTAAATGCAGGTGCCACAACATCTTCTAAAAGAAGCCTGTTCCAGACAGAACGGATTTTTCCACTTCTGTCCATGTCAGCCCCATACCAGATGCCACGACGATTCGACGAGACCTCAAAGTATCCATTAACTTGCACAGTGAGGCCAGTCCTAACGGGCAGAGGGAGAAAGCAGAATGCCCGGCCAAGCTTAAGAGCATCATTCTGTTTAAAATCATATTGCACCAATATAAGTTCTTTAGGATGTTATAAAGCAGAAAGTAATGTAAAAACTAAGAGGAAGGTAAAACTTATGAGAGACTGCACGAAATTGAAATGCATTGAAATAGGAAAACAATGAAAGTATCATATATAGCAAATTACATGTGCTGAATTATCGGATATGCAAGCTGCAACTGATGCCCATGGCAGCAAGTGAATATCATATTCCTTAGACGCAGTAGCTGCGAAGGAACCAATCCTACTGGATGCGGATGCCAGTGTCTGAACTAGATAAAAACTATCTGTCTTCTTCTCAGATTGGCTCCCAATTGTGGACTCACTTAAGAAGTCCACTGTATAGCAGTCCACCTGACTCTCTGTAGAGTTTACTGACTTGGGAAATCTCAACGCAGCTTGACGATGCCAAACAATATCATCACTCGCGGAACCAACAGAGCAGGAGTAAAGCTTCCTGGGCTCACTGTCCCAGGCCTCCCACACATACATTTCAATACGCAAGACATTTTTTAGGAAAAGTAACGTGAAAACTCCTTCCTCATAGAGCTGAAGAAACAAGGAAGAAAGGTCGTCTTGGGAATACTCTTGCCTGGAAAGCTTGCTGGTTGCTGCCTGCTCTGCATTCCTCAGAGGGAAACGGAATAGAGTTCCAGCAAATTGTGTTTTCATGTCGCAACCAAAAGCACAGTAAGGAAAGAACTGGTCTTTGTACACAGAGATGGCTGAAGAAGAAACATAGTCAATTCGCTTCCCGGGATTGGATGCAGAAACCTTGGGAAGAAAAATGCCTTGGGGGTCAAACAATACCACATACTTCCCGCTCACAAACGACGGCAAATCAGTTAAATGGTACACGGAGTTGAATCCAACCCTAAAAATTAGACAAAAATTGAACAAAAAATCAGAAACCAGTCTCATTTTCCCGCCAATAGCAAGCATTGTCGAGCACCCCAATTTCTTTCCTGACCCACCAAGAAAACTAATGCTAATGAAAATTTAAAAAATAATAATTTACCCGAATCGGCCAGTTTTTGAGGCCTGGCCATGCTTGCTACTGCCGCCGATCCTCGAAATACTAACAAAGTCTTCCTCTGTGAAGACGGCGTCGTTGTAAGCCAAGAGCGCGGGCCCCTGCCACGGCGCCAGGGTCTCCGACAGAAGGGAGTCGGTACCATGAAGCCTGCGGTCGAGGCAGAGTCGGACGGTGGTGGCGCCGGCATCGTCAGCGTTCTGAATGAGCTCTTTGAGCACCGTCGTCCCCTCGGGATAGTTCACTAAAACCTCCCGGATTCGCCGCGTCAGGTCAACCTTTTGACCGAAGTCTTCTAGAAAGATCGACTCCGGTGTCGCCGCCGGAGACTCCATACTTTTATCTTGGTCTTCTCCGGCGAGTTTCTGATCCTTACCTTTTGTATTAATTGACTAAACAACCGCCATGGAATTTGAGGTAATTACTGGAGGAACTGTCACCGTAAAGCAGGTGATGGAGTTCTCAATTCTGGGAGGTAGAGAGTACGAGAAAATGAAAGGGCGATTTTGGAGAAATCAGGAGACACCGACACTGAGAGTGCGTGTAATTTTCATGTAGAGATTAATTATGCAATGTTAAAACTCTAATTAATTAATTGACCTAAAAAAAAAACTCTAATTAATTACTGTTGCTTTCGAATTAATTATCCTAAAATTAATGGGAAGGCTTTGGTTTTGTCGTTTTGGGCCTAGTGGCCCTCTCCTGTTTCTGCAGCCTTATTCCTTGTACGGCCGGGTCAACTCATATCGTATGGGTGAAGGCTTCTAACGACGAACGTGCGCATGTCGTATCGTGTGTGGTGCACGGTGCCCATAGTCGATTCTCATATGATAATAAATAAGGAGTTTCACTAAAACACCCAAAATGGAGGTTGAAATTATAAAAAAACCCAAGCACTATTTAAACATATAAACACATTCAAAACCCATCATTATACACACTCAAAACCCATTTATAAACACACCCAAAAAGTTGACTTTGTGGTTGATTTTGGGTGTGTTTCTATGTTTAAATAGTGTTTGGGTTTTTTTATAAATACATGTATAGGATTAGGTTTATTTATAAATTTGTATAATAAATAATCCAAAATTCAAGGTTGGTTGGACGACATAATAAGATAGCAGACGAAATTATAATATCAATATGTTCACCGGAAAAAAAGGATAGATTTTCAATACGTTAGATTATATAGTACATTCCATTAGATGAATTTCAATTTTTTAATAATTAAGAAGGAATATTGTTATTTGCTCTCTCTATAATTTGATTTTTCTAAAATTTTATGATCAAGTGTCAATATTTCCTAAGCGTCCATTCTCAATATAACACAATAATTGGCTCGTCACTTCTAGGGAGAAGCACATAGGAAGCGCTTCTTCATATAGCCCTCGTTTATGAGTAATAGGTCAGAATCACTTATGGGAAAAACCATCTCTCATGTGATTCTCTATATAATCACTTTAAGTGATTTTAAGTGATTTTGAGCAGAAGTACCTCTCATGTGCTTCTCCATAAAATCACTTAAAACCGCTTAAAGTGATTATTTGAAGAAGTAATTCTCCATAGAAGTGCTTTTTGGCTTATCCAGAATCACTCTCAAACGAGCCTATAATCACTTTAAATGATTTTGGGAAGAAACACAAAAATTGTTTTTGGTCATATCCAAAATCACTTTCAAACAAGCCTTTGATATTTCTCACTTACCTATTAGTTGACATAAACTATCGTAGGTAACATATTTTGTCATACGGATAATAAACATGTTGAATTAGTACAGTTGCATATAACAATTTTTTCTAATTAATTGGTGTTAAATTAATTAAACCTAAGCTTGTTGATATAACTCCACTTTTCTACGTCTTGCATCTTTAATCAGAAGATTGTGTGAGAATATTCGCTTGCTCGATTAATGAATTATATATATGTGTATATGTTTGTTTGAGTTTTGGACACACACAAATTCAATGGTTGATGAACGGTCGAGATGGACAGACAGGCTTGACCTTTAGCACCACCACCAATACCATATAGTTGAAGTTTCACAACAAACAAACATGCACAATTGAACGTGGGAAGCTCTACTTTAATGGTGTACTACCTGCAATGGATAAATTTCATATCCTATAATATTATATTGTCAATCAATCACAACGTGAGGGCTACTTCTATCAAAATGATTGCAGAACTTTCAGACCCAATTTCTTATCTCCTTAATGAATTTCTATATACTTTCTGCATCTATATATATGCATGCATAGAGGACACTAGTAGCCAAGCTAGCTAGACCTACCAAATATATCTTGGACGTTAATATTCCTTAAGCCATGAGGAACTGCAAGCTTACACCGTGCGTCTTGGTAGCATTGCTATTAGTTGGAGTTCTTCACCTGGAAGCAGCCATGGCCACGGACTTCACCTATGGCGAGGCTCTTGACAAGAGCTTGATGTTTTTCGAGGCACAGAGGTCAGGGAAACTGCCCTCGGACCAGCGAGTCAAATGGCGCGGTGACTCGGGACTCACGGACGGTCTTGCTCAAGGGGTAATTATTAATTAGAATAGTTTATATGAATTTTTACATGTATATCTATGGTCAGGCATCGATTACATGTACAAGATTATGATATAAATTGTGTGCATGCAATGCAATGCAGGTGAACTTGGTTGGAGGGTATTATGATGCAGGGGATCATGTGAAATTTGGACTGCCGATGGCATTTACAGTGACAATGCTTTCATGGGGAGCTATTGAGTTCAGGAAGGAAATCACAGATTTAGCCCAAATGGGTCAAACCTTATGGGCCATCCGATGGGGCACTGACTATTTCATGAAAGCACATCCACAACCTAATGTTCTCTGGGGACAGGTATGCATGTTTGGCTGGCTGCATATCACAGACTAGTTTCTGTTTGGTCGCCTATTTCATGTATATTTTCATGTATGCATTTCTTCTGTTGAATTAATGAGAGCCTATAGCTGCCTGCTTTGGTATTGGTAGACCACCTAACTGTTTTAATTTGGCTAGACAGAAAATTAATCACGTGGCGTTACTTAATTAATTGTAAACATATGATGATGATGATGATGATGATGATCAGGTAGGAGATGGGGATTCGGATCACTATTGCTGGGAGCGTCCAGAAGACATGACAACTCCAAGAACTGCATACAAGATTGATGAAAATCATCCTGGTTCAGACCTTGCTGGAGAAACTGCAGCTGCCTTGGCATCAGCTGCCATAGCTTTCCAGCCTTACAACTCGTCCTACTCTGCTCTCCTCTTAGTTCATGCAAAGCAGGTAATTAATCTCGTCATCTCAAAACACTAAATATATAATTTTATATTTGTTCTGCTATATATCATGTTGGAGTTAATTTGCCTCCATGAATGATCTCAATTTATTTGCAACTTATTGCAGCTCTTCACGTTTGCGGATAGATTCAGAGGTCTATATGATGAGTCCATTGGGTCTGCTAAGAACTTCTATACTTCATCAGGCTACTCGGTACGTGCATTAATTCTATGTATATATTTTCTTTTTCTTTTCCAGTAGGTCAAGCAAGTCACAAGACAAACAGTTATATCTTTGTTTTTATTTTGTAATTAATGAATTAATTTGATACAGGATGAACTACTATGGGCTGCTGCATGGCTTTACCAAGCAACGAACGAAGAGTACTACCTCAAGTATGTGGTGGACAACGCTGTGTATATGGGAGGAACTGGATGGGCTGTCAAGGAATTCTCTTGGGACAACAAGTATGCTGGTGTCCAAATCCTTCTCTCCAAAGTGTTGTTGGAGGGCAAAGGCGGTGCTTATACTTCCACCCTCAAGCAATATCAGGCCAAAGCAGATTACTTTGGCTGCGCTTGTCTCCAAAAAAATGAAGGCTACAATGTCCACAAAACTCCCGGTTAGAACTTACAACAAAAAACCATTATGTGCTTATTTGTTCCTAATTCAAATATTAGAGAACTAAACTAACTACTCTTTGATTTGATACTTTCTTCTTGAACTGAAAAACCAGGGGGGCTTTTGTACGTGCGTGAATGGAACAACTTGCAGTATGTGACTTCTGCATCATTTCTTCTAGCTGTTTACTCTGAGTATCTCTCTGCTGCAAATGCCAAGCTCACTTGCCCAGAAGGACAAATTCAACCTCAAGAGCTTCTGAATTTTGCAAAGTCACAGGCAGACTACATACTTGGTAAAAACCCCAAGTCAATGAGCTATATAGTTGGGTTTGGCTCAAAATATCCAGTTCATGTGCACCACAGAGGTGCGTCCATTCATGCTGTGTCTGTCCTGCAGTCTCTGGTTGGATGTGTGCAAGGATTTGAGACATGGTATCATCGCCCCGAGGCAAATCCTAATGTCATCTATGGCGCCCTTGTGGGAGGTCCTGACCAGAATGACAACTTCTCTGACGACCGCTCCTCTTACGAAGAGACTGAGCCTACACTTTCTGGCTCTGGTCCCCTTATTGGCCTCTTCTCTAAGTTGCAGAGTTTAAATGGAATTAATGTTCCAGGTACCTACCATTTTCACCATCAATCATCAATGCCAAATTGACTAATTAACTAATCCTCCTGAGACATAATCCTCTATCTAATCTGAGGTTTAATTAGCATCACCTCTGATGTTGCCTAATTCTTGAGTTTTTCTGTTACAGGTTATAACAGAGGATCACCAAACTCCCACCACCAAACCATACCAAGTCCAAGTGAGTCTTCAATATTTTTATGAATTTTGGTCTTCACTTTCCAGAAAGAAATATAAAAGATGGTCTGCATTGCTCATACTTTCCACCTTACAGGTCCCAATCAACATGAAAAACAAGTACCCAACAAAGTATCAGGTAAATTTGCTCAGTAATTTTTGCAGTATGAAATGCTATGATGAGAAGATGGTTGGTTGGTTTGGAAATGCTAATGAAGCAGATTATATGTTGACTTGGTTTTCTGCAGGCACCCCAATCAAATTCATTCACTCAATAAGCAACACATGGTCTATTGGAAAAATGACATATTATCGCCACAAGGTGATAGTGAAGAACACATCGCAGAAACCAGTAACAGATGTTAAGCTGGTGATTGAAAACCTGCAAGGGCCTTTATGGGGTCTCTCTCCAACTCCGGAAAAGAACACCTATGAGCTTCTTCAATGGCAAAAGGTCTTGCAGCCTGCCTCAGAGTGCACTTTCGTTTACATCCAAGGTGGCCCTCAAGCAAAGATTTCCATCCTAAGCTACCACTGACCATCCAAAACAATATAAAAAGAGAGAAGAAACAGAGCCAACGTGAAGTCATGTTAGCAACTAGAGATATCATCGTGCAACTGTCTCGAGCAGACCTCTTCCTATTTCATTTCACCCCGCGGATGCAATGTAACACGTTTCTCAAGGAGGCCATAAAGAGTCAAGCACCGACTCTTACTTGGCCAGGCAGACGCTTGTATCAAATTTTGATACCAATAATTTGTAATGTATACTTCTCTTTGAAAAAGCCAGCATTGCCCAACGGTATGAAATCAAAGACCATTTACCATTCGTCTTTCCTAACAATGCAAGCCTCAGTTGAACACCCTAACTCAACATATTGTGCGTTTCTTGCCCACAAATGTCAGAGAATACAAACACTTTCTTTTTCCTCTCTCCATTCAAATATAATCAAATGCATGTGCCATCTCTTCCCTCCAGTTAGAGAGGTAAGTAATTGGGCAAATAAAAATAGATTCAGCTCCCCACATCCAGGTATATTGTGTTGTGAATGACAGAAGAAACACGCTACGTCTCAACTCGATTGATTTGACTGAGTATGCACTTACAAAGGTTGAAAATTTTGAAGTAAAAAATACTATATTAATGCTCAAAATTAATTCATAACGTCAATTCCAGAAATTCCACTGATCACTCTCACATTATAGTTCATATCGAAGTTCAAGTCAAAACCAGACATGCCTTGCAAAATAAAATTAAAAATAATAATAATAACAGTTAAACAAAAGCTCCAAATCTTTCTCTTGGCATAACTAATCCTCACTGAAGGTAGTCTTCTTCCCTGCACATCAGATAATGGAAGTTATTAGAAGCTTAATTTAGAGTCACAACTGAGAACCAATTAGGCGCCATCAAAATGCTTATCCAAGTCTATAATGAAACCGATTTTGCATCTTTAAAGGAGGTGGCAAACACTAATTACCAAATGTTGCATATCGCATATCCAAATATATAAGCTACAGCTTAAGAAAAGTCCAGCATATCAAACGTAGAAAATGAAAAGAGGATAAAAAGCTTCGAACCTGTTCCAGGAGCAGCTAGATTTGGCTTGTTCGACCCTCCACGTCCTCCTCTACCATGTCCACCAGAAAAACCCCGGCCACCTCCACCTCCACGCCTACCACCAAAACGGCCACCACTGTCCCTACCACCAAAACGGCCACCACTGTCCCTACCACCAAAACGGCCACCACCACTCCTGCCACCACCACCTCTGCCACTACCACCAATATCAGCTCGTGGTTTGGCCTCTTGTACTGTCAAGGTGCACTTTCCAAAGTTAGCTTGGTTAAGTTGTAGAGCTTTTTTGAAACTATCCCCATCCTGGAACTCCAAGTAAGCCATCCTGCAATTTTATAGATATAATTCATCAGCCTCAGACACCTAAAGAAAGATCAGGTCGAGCTAAGAAAATAGTAATGCTTTTTTTGGTAAAAATAGTATATAAAGCTTTTGCTTAGATAGTGACCAACATTCCTAAAAACCACATAAAGTAACATCAACCGTAAAGGAAAATATTCGACATCAAATAAGTAACAAAGAGAAATGAACCACCAAAAGAAATAGTACAAACCCCTTGGGTGCTTGAGTCTCATAATCTTTTGGAATGGACAACCTTGTTATCTCTCCACAACCACCAAAAAATTCTTGCAGGGAGCTCCTGATCTGTAAAACTTAAACTAGTCACATTTGCACAATAATATGGATATTATACCATTAAATACAACAAAGCTACAGATTCTTGTACAACATTACCTCATCCTCCCCTTGGGATGTATCAAAACCTCGAATAAATATTGTAGACTGGCCTTGTCCACCCTTCTGATATGAGTTCCCCTCTTTGCTAAAATGACCAATGAAGAAACATAAGAAACAAAATGAATGAGATCATCAAATCAGCACATTGCATGTAGCAATTAAGAGTTAAAAAGTACCCGCTATGTGGGGTATAAGAACCCCTTTCACGAGCAAGATCAAGTCTCACTCCACGGCCCAGCAGCTCCACACCATGTAATTCAAGAGCCTGCAACAACGATGATTGTTACATTAGCGACACAGAACATAGAAAGCACTAGAGCTAGATTCCACAAATCAAGGAAAATATCCTACCTTCTGTGCTGCTTCTGATGTGGCAAATTCCACATGCCCAAAGCCCCTAAACACCCCATCTTCAGTTGTGGTGAAACGGACATCAACAATTTCACCAGCATCCTTAAAGAAATTTTCACTGCACATAAAGTACAATTAGATGAAATCCTCCTAAAAAGAAACACAAGCTTAAAATCACGCTGCACATACACATCAGCCCGCTCAACATTGAATGACAGGTTTCCAACAAACAAAGTCTTGGAAGTTGTTGCTTCAGGAGTAGCAGGGGTTTTGGGCTGCACAAATATTATTACAAATTAGAACACAACAAATATCTTGGGCAAGCTGAAAATACAATCTACAAAGCAGAAAAGATCAAATTACAGCTTTATTCTCGGACTTCGAATCAGCATCTACCATTTCAACATCAGTATCCTGTTCACACAAAATTTTGTATAACATGAGCTACATACATTGAGACCATATTTCCAATCTTAATTGTTCAGCAGTACAGTAAAACCTCTGTTTAACAGGAAATACATGAGTAGGGAAAATAAGTGAACAAGGTGGATACCAATAGGTAGCCCATTGTAACAAGACAATAACACAAGTATAAGCAACAGTTAATTACCTTTTTCTTTGGAGTCTTTGCAGGTTCATCCTCCTCTTCTTCTGATGATGAAGACTCATCAGATTCGCTACTATCTTTCTTTGACACTTGGGAAGGCTGCAAGAATCCACAAGTAGCATGACCATAAATTCCATAATCATTAATCCAATACTGTACAAATGGCAACTTCAACAAATTTTACACCCATAAAAACCAAAATTTCAAACCTTCTTTACTTTCTCTGCCTTTGAGGGCTCCTCATCTGAACTATCATCGTCACTATCCTCCTCTGAACTTTCAGAAGTGAAATCCTTCTGAGCAGCTTTTGCACTTGGTTTTGCAGCATTTGAAGTAGCCTTGGTTCGAGAAACAATATATGCAACTTCTTAATCAATTATATGAATCAAGGTAAACTGTGAACAGAATTAAAAAAAGATTTGCTGAGTGAAGTCACACACTGACACCTTTGGCTTTTTATTTTGAGGCTCATCATCATCGTCTTCATCAGAATCACTTTCTTCTGAACTCTCATCAGTCTTTTTTGATGGTTGAGCCCTCTTAGCTGTGGGGGCAACACCTTTAGCTGTTACCTGCCGCAAGAAAATTTTACTCACTGTCATGGGACCTCTATGAAGGCTAAAATAATATAAAACAGAACCATTGTTAGTCTCATCCTCTAGGAGAAACCTTTCAATGGCTCTAATGTTGGAACTAAAAAAACCTACAAAATTAATCCACAGGTATAACTTGTTCACTAGCTCCAACACATTCCAAAGGGAAAGTGAAAAGAACAAACCTTCTCATCCTCTGAACTATCTTCAGAGGAGCTATCAGTAGAATCCTCCTCCCTCCCTTTAGGAGTTACAGCAGATACTTTATTCACAATTTCTTCCTAGACATGCTCAGAGAGATTAAAATTCAAACTAATTTCTAAAATGCATAAAGTATAACTTCACAATTTAAAATAATTAAACCTATATTTTAATTCCATTATGCAATTAAAATATTTAAGCATGGGCTCACACCTCATCGTCATCACTCTCCTCTTCAGAGCTGCTACTAGTGTCCTCCTTAGCAGCCACTGCTGGACCTTTCTTCGTAGCAGCAGGCACTTGGGAAGTACCCTTTGCAGGGGTTTCCTACAAACACAGGAACACACATTTGAGAATAGAAGCTTTTAATTTTATACGAATTCCCTGAAGCGTTAATGCGCATGCACAACTTATAGGTACAATTCCAAATCTGACTAAGCTGACATAACCACCTTGAAAGATTATGGATCAAATAAAATACGCAAAAAAAAAAGTATCAAAATCATACCGACTACACTGACTCAGTTTATATAATTACAACTGCAGCATAATAATCAAGGGATTTGGCAAACCCAAAACTCACATCATCATCACTTGACTCATCTGAGCTGTCAGTTGAGTCATCCTTCTTCTTTGGAGCGGCAGTTGGGCCATTCTTGGCAGTTACCTTGGTTTTAGGAACCTAAAATCAGACAGATATACACATTTAGAAAAGCCAAATGATTTCCCATCATTTATATAAATCGAGAGTCATATTTAGAAACTTTACTCACTTCTTCTGATGAGGAAGAAGTGAGTACAGTTTTCTAAAATCAAATATACACATTTAGAAAAGCCAAATGATTTCCCATCATTTATATAAATCGGTAGGCATATTTAGAAAACTTTACTCACTTCTTCCTCATCAGATTCATCTGATTCATCTGAACTGCTGGATGGAGCAGCTTTCTTAACACCAGCTCCAGCTGTCCCGTTTTTAGCAGGAACAGACTTTTTTGAAGGAGCAGAAGGCTTGGAAGTAGGTTTCTGGAGTCATATAACGCAAAATAAGTATCTAACAAATAAATTGGAGTCGTCAGCCACGCAGTCATTAAAGTAAAAAAACAATACTCACTTCATCAGAATCATCATCTGAAGAGTCAGAACTGCTGGATGGGATGCCTTTACCATTTTTAGCAGCTTTTGGAGCGGGTTTCTGTGAAAGAATAAGGTGATAAGTTATAATTCTTTAGTAGTACGAATAAAGGTAAATAGATCTATGTCAATTTGTATACAATTTCAATGTTGCAAGATCGTAATAAACCAAATATAGCTCTAACATTCAGGGAAAACTTTGAAAATCATTTTACAGCAATATAAGCCATTAACAAAGAAGTAAATGTGAAGATTTGTGTTACAATATGATGAAATCCAGTTCCCCAATAACCAAAACGATGTCCATGCCGCAGAACCAAAATGATGAAATCCAGTTCCTCAAGAACACATAATAACACTTTTAAACAGATAATCTTAAAAACTGAAACTTTATTAAGACATTTAAGTTCATATGTGAAGAAGTAATCAAACAGCCAATAGCACATTAGCCAACATAAAAGAATGCAAACAAATACGAAAATAAACAATAAATACAATAAATTATGTAATATACCTTTACATCAGAGTCTGATGAAGACAAATCCGACTCCTCAGAACTACTAGTTTCTTGCTTCTTCTTTTGCGTCTTTGCTTCAACTTTCTTCTTCTGAATAGCCTGCTGTACACCCTCATCCCTCTTCTGCTTCTTTACATTCACCGCCTTCTCTATCACATTCTCGGCTTCTCTCTTACCTTCTCAACATAACCACAACCAAAAGAACTTAATAAGCCACTAGCCGAAAAAAAATATCAAAACAAACGAACAATGTAAAAAAACTAAACTTCAAATTATACCAGCAACCCATAGGCATATCATCCTCACACAGCATAGTGAGTAAACCCAGTTAAATTATAAGAAAATATTCCAAAACGTCAAAGAATTGATACCTTTCTTGACAGCCTTAGAAGGTGGGACTACAGCAGGAGCTGCATCGACCTGTACAAAAACATAACAATCTGGTTAGAAAAACGAAACCATTGAAGCAAAAGCAAAGACATCACGAGCCAAAACAGCTGGAAAGAACCATACTTTGGAGGCTGACTTCTTGCTTGATTTGCCCATTTGAGAGGGTAATCTAGGGTTTAGATATGAAAAACGAAAAGAATATAGAAAAAGTGGGGCGGAGGCTATGCTCTGAAAAACCCTAAGGTTTAGGGTGTAGGGTTTTTGTGAGAGCGGTGGAAAGGAATGATAGTAGTACTCATCGATGCTCTCTATTTATATGATTTCGAATCGGTAAGGGGGTTAGGGTTTTTGACAGGTAAGCGTGTGCTATTTTTTTTTGTCAAGGCTTGTAAGCGTGCGTTTTGAGTCCTTTGAATCTGCACCGTTTCTTCGTGAGATTATAGAATCAGTAACATTGATAATTTAAGTCATAATTGTAAAAAATTTAACTTCATCTAAAGGTCAAATATTATTTATTTTATTTTATAAATAAATGGGGCCAACAAGAAGTAGAAAAAGATATTGACTCGCAGATTAGAAGTCTTATGTCTATGTGTGAGAAATCTTTTCTCCCTGTAATACAAATAAACAATTAAAAGCCCCATAATGAACAAAATTTTGGAAGGGAATAAATAATAATAGGGGAATAATGGTAAAAAAATATTATAATAATATTTGACATCAAATTTTATTGTAACATTGTTTTCAAGTAATCTACTTTGTGATTATATATGTGTCACTAAAAGTATCAGAAATTGAAATAATTCCAAATGTATGAGAAGTCATAAACATAAATAATTATAATACACATCCAAGTCCATTACTTATAAGTAAAAAGTGATAGCAATCTCAAAATGGCATTAAGTTGTCATGTTCTTAGTTTTTTTGGTTCGTAAGTCATTTTCTTAGTTATTAATTGGTAAAGTAGGTTTTCATTTGAGAGACTTTTAGTGCCCATTTGACATTGCTTATTTGGGGTGATAAGTGATTTTTATAAATTTTTGGGAAGCCCATCCCATTTGGTAAACTATGAGAAAATCACTTATTATTAAAAATTGATGTGAGAGAAAGCTATAAGTGAGGTGCTTTCATTTTCTGATTATACAAGAATTAGTTTTGAAGAGGCACTAGGTTTAATGATTATGCAGCAATCATTTTCTGATTATACGGGAATTAGTACCAACAACATTTTTAACAAAAATTTTACCAAACACCAAATTGCTTTCTTTCACAGCTGATTTCTCTCACAACAAATCTGATAACAATTATTTTTACAGCACAGCAATGTCAAACTGGCTCTTAGCCACAACGTTCCAATACCACAACACAATTGTAATTGCTTTTAAAATATAATTTGTGGGTTATGTCCTGTAGGTTTAGCGGTGGTGGTGAGCTCTCATTTTATTTGGCTTCATTTGTCACAACAAGCACTCTTTATCAAATAAATATAAAAATTAAGTTATATAGTCCATATTATACTTGTAGGCCTCGTTTGTTACACATAATTGTCTTGACATGGACTACGTTTAGAGATTGTCTTTATTTGGTTTGGCTTGATCTAGGTTGGATAACACTTATCCTACATTTGGTGTATGTTTGGACTAAAACTATATATATATATATATATATATATATGTTACTATTATTACAATATGATATATGCATCTTATACATTAATGAGCATGAGACGACGTAATCCTCCCTTCCACATGGGTTTATTAGTATCCTCATAAGGAGGTGTTTTTGGTGGACCCGGTAGCAATCCCATTCAATACTAGCATTAGATGAAACAAATATGGGACTATAAATTATGATTACTAAACTTATACACATTTGAAAATGATTGTGATCTCATTTAAAGATTGAACAAGGTTTTATTGAAATATTCAAGCTGCTTAGTTTATTTTTAAGTGAAAAAATAAAGGCAAAACTTTAAATGTCACTTGAATTTATACGCCAATTTCAATTCGTCACCTCAAAGAAAATTTTAAGAGAAACGTCACATTAATTTGTCAAAATCCATGAAATGTCATATGACACTAACATCATCCAATTTTCCATTAAAAAATAAATAAATTGAACATGCAAGGGGTATTTTTGACATTTTAAAAATCATTCAAGCTCCTTATTTGGGACCAGTTAGCAATTTTCGCATACTATACACGTATGTACATATTTTTAAAAGGATTTAAGCCGTTTTACCCCCTAAACTATTAGGCAATTCAAACTTACCCCTTGAATTATTTCGTTTGCCGATTTAGTCATTCTACTCGTTTAAAATAGCCAATGTGGGACTTGTCATTAGATTTTTAGAGATTTCATCCATATTTTTGTCTAAAAAGTGATGTGGAGCCATGTGATTCTTTTGTTGAGGGCATTATAGTCCTTCCATGTGTTGACTTTGTATTTTCATTTATTGTTTAAAATAAACAATAAAAAAAAATTCTTCAATCAACCTCATCCCCAACCCGTCATGTTCCTTATCTTTTGGCGAAAACAAACCGTTAACACCCACAACCAACTTTCCTTATCCCACTCGCAACCACCCCCTCCTTCCCCAGCACCAATTTAATTTTGGGAGATTTTATTGGCACCCCATTATTTGCTTTTTACACCCCATACTAATTTTAAACATGAATAACCTATTTTACCCTTGTACACAATTACCTTTAAGGAAAAAAAAATTAAAATTGCTCACTACACCCCACATATGTTCCTGCAACCCTAGGTTGACTTTTTTCTCAAACTATCATATTCCTAAACCCTAAACCCTAGATTTATACGTTTATATTGGTGAAAAAATATATTGTATTTATTCATGAAGGGTGAGATTGAAGTTAGAGAGGTTTCGAATAAGGTATGAGTTTATTTTTTGGCGTTTTGCAAGTTTAGTATTTCATAATGGTCGCTGGTTGTGTTCAGCACATCAGTACCGAACACGACAGGTAAATTCGGTGGGATGCCACCGAAATGTTGCACCTTTTTCGGTTGTGTTTAACCGGTCATGAACTTAATATTCGGTGGAGATCCACCGTAACATGGAATGTAGTTCAGTGGTTCACTACCAAATTTTTATCTGCATTTCAGTAGCATCCAACTGAAATTTATTTATTTTTTCAGTAACTTATTGCCGACCACAAATTTAATGCAAGCTATTTTAATCTTACTCCCATTAAAGGAACACAAATAAGGTGACGCCCTTATTGAAGGCAACAACGTGGAAACAGAATGTGTAATGGACTATAGTGATCAATTCACAACTTTTTCGGTAATTATTTGTCTGAAATCCTTTTGTCTGCAAGAAGGTATTTGGGACCTCAAACAATGAATGCAATTTAATGAGGATTGGAATACTTTGGTTGGTTCAGAAATGGAGGAGGAATATTGGCGTTGTTTGCGACAGATTGAGTCTAAGTTCAGTGAATTTCAAAAAGCTCTTGAATACATACATGACAATTGGTTAAATCCATTTAAGGATAGGTTTGTGGTTACTCTTTTTAATATCAGGACTCGTCTTAAGTCACCTTGGTCCCGCTGGAAAAGAAAACATGCCATGAGTTCTAATACAAACTTCATAATTAATCAAAACAACAAAATGTAACAACCTAAACCTAAAATTAATATTTACCTATTAATTTATTGGAGGAAAAGACTAAAATGCCCTTAGAATATTTTATTGAGGAAAAGGTTGACATTTTGACCGAGAAAGAATTTGATCGTTTCACCTACACCGTTGCGTAAAGCGCGACGAAACGAGTCCATAGACACGTATTAGGCTCGAATCGGAATTATAATGAAGAAAATACGGTCAAAATACGCTCAAGGGCAAAATGGTAATTTTGGGAAATCAGGATTTTTTAAAAAACCCTCAGCTTCTCTCTCTCCCGTCGCGATCTCCCTCCCCCTGTTCAGTCCGATCGGTCCTCTCCTCCCAGCCACCGCCACAGGCCACCTCGACCCATCGGACCGGACCCAGAACCCCGGCGTCACTCCGCCGACCTAGCCCGGTCATCCTCCCGCAGCCTGCCGCCTCGAACCGTCGGAAAAACCATGGTTTCCGACCGGTTTTTGACAGAACTTTGGCCAGCGATTTCCCCCTCCTCTGGCCACCAATCCGGTCGTGTGAGATATGAATTTCTAGCTATTTGTCATGATCTAGCTGTTGGTTGAGTAGGATTTGAGGAATTTCTAGCGTGAGAGGGTTAATTTCGAACCTAGGATTCGGCCGGTTTTGAGACCACGGTTTCAGCCACTTCCGGCCACTTTTTGGGGTAGGTCCAAGAACAAAAGTGGTTCCAAATAGGGTGTTTTACCTAGGATAGGAGTCTTGAGCCGAGATGTAGAGTTTTTCCGGCGAGGCGTTATCGCTTTAGGCACCACGCGCTGCCAGCGCGTGTGGCGCCGCGTGGGCAACAGGGTGGGGACCACAGTTAATCCTAGAATGACCTCCTAGACCTCACGAGCGCGTAGGATTTCGCGGAACTCAATTCGGATACTGTTTGGAACCCC